GATGTATGGGGTATAAATAGTAAAATTATCAATATGGAATGGGACGTCCCTATTTTCATTGGAGAAATGTTGGCGGGTATGCAAATCACAGATTCCCACTTCCTGTTACTTGTGCCAGCCTTTGCAGTTACCAGCCAGGAAGTCAAAGAGTTGAGTATGGGAGAGACTCTTTGTGCCACGCTGCTGAAAATATTCCTCATCCTTAGCACCTACTGAAATTAATGAGACTTTAAAAAATGTGACTAACTCTCTTTTTAGTGTTTCGGCTCCCAACTTTTTTAAGCTGTACAAATATCATGCCACTTTGCAACTGCATCAAGTTCTGAAGTAGCTTATGAAAAGCAAATGTTGAACGCAAGTCCTCTACCAAAAATAATCTCTTAACTTGGCTTTACAGGCCCAAGTTATTCTTCTATTTATCCTTCTTGCTGCTATTGCAAATTTCTTCATTGGAACCGTCATTCCAAGCAACAATGAGAAGAAGGCTAGAGGTTTTTTCAATTATCAAGGCAAGTGTTTCTTTTTTGGCAGAAAAGCAGAGCTCCTGCAGAAAACAGTACTGAGTACTGACATACAACTATGAGTGACTATATTAGCATCTTACATAAAGTAATTGCATGAGGCATATTCTGTATACTGCGTAAAGGTAAAGTCACCTTTGACTGGACTTAACTGTCCAGGGGTCTTTTACCTTTACCTTTACCTTTACCTATATACTGGGCATAAGCTTGCACCCAAGTAACTGACTTGAAAATCATAACCAGCTGTGCTTTTGCATCTTATTAACCTGCCTCTGTGTTCATCAGTGACAACCTGGTGCCTACTGCATTGCATCTAGGCCTCTAGATTGTGCAATGCACAAACCAACCACCAGCAAATTTATCCATGTATTTTATTTCATAAAATATATACACCACTTGATTGTAAAAAAAATCTTCAGAGCAGTTTACAAAGAGAATAAAGCAATTAAATTTTCCATGACAAAAATAATCAATAATAGCCTCAACAGAGGGATGTGGGTTAAACCACAGAGCCTAGGACTTGCAGATCAGAAGGTCGGCGGTTCGAATCCCCGTGACGGGGTGAGCTCCCGTTCTTCAGTCCCTGCTCCTGCCCACCTAGCAGTTCGAAAGCACGTCAAAGTGCAAGTAGATAAATAGGTACCGCTCCAGCGGGAAGGTAAACGGCGTTTCCGTGCGCTGCTCTGGTTCGCCAGAAGCGGCTTAGTCATGCTGGCCACATGACCCGGAAGCTGTACACCGGCTCCCTCAGCCAATAAAGCGAGATGAACGCTGCAACCCCAGAGTCGGTCATGACTGGACCTAATGGTCAGGGGTCCCTTTACCTTTACCTAGGCGATGCATACCGAAACATGCTCAGCCACACAGAGTGAAGTCTGCTATTCCTCCCCCTATGCCACATACCACCACAATTCGTGGCTTCTCAATGAATCAGGGGAGCCTAGACTTCTTACACCACATGGGTGGGGAAACTTTGGCCCCCCAAATGTTACCAAACTACCATCAGCTCATTGTTTTAGTTCAGCAACATCTGAACTAAACATCTTAGGGCCTAGCTTATATTTTAATTGCTATTTTGTTAATGTTTTTAAAATCGTTTTATAGATTCTAAATGCTGCATCGATTTGCTAATCACACGACTTGCCATGATTGTGAGGTTTAGCTTATTGTATAGTTGCTGTTTTGTTAAGTTTTTTTTTAATAGATTGCAACTGTTTTATTGATAATTTCTTAATTATTTTATATGATGTATGCTGTATCCGCGATGTGCTATTATGTTTTTATTATGTTATGGTTATTTATTGGTTGTAAGCCGCTTTGAGATCCATTTGAATGAAAAGCGGCATAGAAATACAAGAAATAAACCATTCAGTCTAGAGGGCCAAATGTCCCCCCTGCCCAATATACAAGACAGAGACCGAAAGGGGGTTCTGCAAGATATAGAATATCAGTCAGTGACACGGACTCGAAACTTCACTGTGATTTTTCACTTTGCCTTTGCAGCCTCCATATTTGCAGAAAACTTCGGACCAGATTTCAGAGGCGACGAAGGGTTTTTCTCTGTGTTTGCCATTTTTTTCCCTGCGGCCACTGGAATTCTTGCTGGAGCCAATATCTCTGGAGACTTGGAGGTAGGCACAAGCCCATGTTCTGCAAGCTGAGTTGCGACATCTAGAACGTCCAACATCTAGAACTTCCGCTTGCATGCTTCCTCACAAAACGAGCACAACACCTTTAGAATTTAGGGCTGCTTCCACACCACTACTATTTTCAGGAGGGACACAGTCATAAAAATAATACTAATAATAATTTTATTATTTATACCCTGCCCATCTGGCTGGATTTCCCCAGCAGCTCTGGGTGGCTCCCAACAGAATATTAAAAAGAAAATCAAACATTAAAAACTTCCCTAAACAGGGCTGTCTTCAGATGTCTTCTAAAAGTCAGATAGTTGTTTATTTCCTTGACATCTGATGGGAGGGCGTTCCACAGGGCGGGAGCCACTACTGAGAAGTCCCTCTGCCTGGTTCCCTGTAGCTTCACTTCTCACAGTGAGGAAACCGCCAGAAGGCCCTTGGAGCTGGACCTCAGTGTCCGGGCAGAATGATGGGGGGGGCGTGGAGACGCTCCTTCAGGTATACTGGGCCAAGGCTGTTTAGGGCTTTAAAGGTCAGCACCAACACTTTGAATTGTGCTCGGAAACATACTGGGAGGCAATGAAGGTCTTTTAGGACCGGTGTTATATGCTCTCGGCGGCCACTCCCAGTCACCAGTTTGGCTGCCACATTCTGGATTAGTTGTAGTTTCCGGGTCACCTTCAAAGGTAGTCCCACATAGAGTGCATTGCCGTAGTCCAAGCGGGAGATAACTAGAGCATGCACCACTCTGTTGAGACAGTTTGCGGGCAGGTAGGGTCTCAGCCTGTGTACCAGACGGCTGCCCTGGACACAGAATTGACCTGCACCTCCATGGACAGCTGTGAGTCCAAAATGACTCCCAGGCTGCACACCTGGTCTCTCTGGGGCACGGTTACCCGATTCAGGACCAGGGAGTCCTCCACACCTGCTTGCCCCGTCCCCCCAAACCAGTACTTCTGTCTTGTCAGGATTCAACCTCAATCTGTTAGTCACCATCCATCCTCCAGCCGCTTCCAGTCACACACTGGAAAATGCACTATTAGTGTTGATTTGGAGCTCATGTGCAACAAACCCACTTCCCCCAATGACGAGACTTTTTGTGATAAGGAAAGTGATGGGGAAATGCCACTGGGGAGTGCAGGATAACACTTCCTTGACACAATGTCATCTAACCTCTCCACAAACAAACCAGAATGAACGTTCAATAAATAGCAAATGTTGTCTGGCTTTCCCACAAACAATTCAGGGCAGAGGTGCAAAGCAGACAATTTCTGCACCTATTTCTGGACCCTCTAAGCTAAGCACCCCACTTGTATTGTCTGAAGAAACAGCCAGCTACACAGATTTAACTACATTTGTCTTCCAGAAACGGACTATGAAATTTAAAAGGCCACTTCACTAACTCTAGAAGCAGAATATTAATGGACCCATTATCAGGGTACTGCACATCGAAATGAGCTATGTAATTCCTATTACCACAGCTTTGCTAATTTATAAAAACTCTACATGCGGCGGACTTCAAATTTACAACTGGAGGCCCTAGAGGGAAATTCAGTGCTTCTTTCTCCAAAGTGGCTTGGGCTAGGCTTAGCAAAAGGATCAGTCCTTTTATTTCAGGCTTGTCCTTCACACAGCTATGTCTTACATTACTACAAGGTGATTTGCATGAAGAGCTAACTAGCTAGCACTTGCCTAGTACAGTGGTGCCTCGCAAGACGAACTTAATCCGTTCCGCGAGTCTCATCATCTTGCGGTTTTTTCGTCTTGCGAAGCACGGCTATTAGCGGCTTGGCTTAGCGGCTATTAACGGCTTAGCAGCTTTAAGAAAAAGGAAACAAACTCGCAAGAACTTGCAAGACATTTCGTCTTGCGAAGCAAGCCCATAGGGAAATTCGTCTTGCGGAACGACTCAAAAAACGCAAAACCCTTTCGTCTAGCGAGTTTTTCGTCTTGCGAGGCATTCGTCTTGCGGGGCACCACTGTATCTTATACTGTAAAAGTTTTTTTGGTGCAAGCACAGAAACATCTAAGATGCGAGCCATTTCGCCCCCCTTTTTTATTTTACTCCTATTTGGTTATAAATACATTTTCCCACTCTTTGTGCTTCTGCGTTCTAAGCCTTTAGGGAACGGCATCTGGGCGCCTTTCTATTAAATGATGAAAGCGGTCGATTCTTACAGTCACATGTTGACTCCGGAAACTGCAGCCCACATTGACAAATACAGGACTTACAACCTTTCAAGTTAAGTCACGCGGGTAGCGACATGGGGAGCAAAAATGCGGGTGGAAATCTGAATGTCATTTCCGCACGTATCATTATGCCTTCCTGCTTTTAGGCAGTGCCAGGTTTCCATCAGTGTTTAGGTAATCTAAACATACAAAATATGTTACCTGCATGGCTTGGGAGGAAGTTGGTGGGCTTCCCTTTTTGACCTCCATTCCCCCCAGCCCCAATTTCCATTAAATCCACTCAGTGCAGGAAACATAGGAAGAGCATAAGAAGTTGCCTTTTTATGAGTCAGGACACTGGTCCATCTATCTCAGTGTTGTCTACACTGACTGGCAGGCTTTCAGGTAGGAAATCTCACTTGGGTTTCTTAAAAATGATTGGTTTGTAGTTTACGCCAGAGTCAAAAAGCTTGGAAGCTGAAACTGCCCAGTCCTAGTACCAGTGCTTTTTTCCTAGGGGGTACGCATGGGTACGCATACCCCTAAACATTTTGTGAATCCTTGTACTTTTGTCCATTTATTGTATTTATTTTCCCCAGTTTGAACTATAAAATGGTGATTTTCTTGAGTCAAAATGAGAGTACTCCTAAATATTTTTTTAGAAAAAAAGCACTGCCGGGGTAGGCTCGAACCACCAACCTTCTGGTTAACAGCCAGATGCGCTGAACCATTACACCACTGGAAACATGGGACCTTCTGCATGCAAAGCAGATGTTCTGCAGCTGAGCTACTGCCCTTCCCCTAATTATGCCCAACTATGCCCATTAAACAGCACATTAACCGTGTCCATATAAAACATCCCTGCACAAAATCTCCAAATTGCCTACACAATTTTAGTCTTATTGTCACATTATCCCAAGGACAAGTAACTATTTTTTTTAAGTACTTAAAGTCTGTAACAGAATTGTTTGTGAACGCAAACATGCAGAGGATATGCAACCCTGTGTGTGTGTGTGTGTGTGTGTGTGTGTGTGTGTATTTAATGACTATTCATTGCAGTCTTTTTATTGTAATATTCTAGGATCCACAAGCTGCTATACCCAAAGGAACAATGCTGGCCATTCTGGTTACAACGATTGCTTATGTAGGTGTAGCAATCTGTGCAGGTAAATAAGAAGCATATGTTTGCATTCTAATCCAAAGTAATTAATAGTCTTAGGTACGTTTAAAGTCTTGTGCTCAGATCATCACTTACCCTCATTATTTGTTTATCTTATGGATTTTCTATATAGTAAAACAGATGTCTATTCGTAAGTAAAAACACAAACTTGAAAACAACATTCCTCATTTCACTGCATAGAATTGGATCAACTATGGAATCACAAATAGCTAAAGAGGCTACTTTTCTAGGAAAAGTTCAAGGAGTTGAACTATTCCACTGTGTTGAACTTGTGACTTCATTATATGGAGAGCTTCCACCAGTGCTTGGCTTACGGAAAACTACAAGCGCCATCAGAACGAGTTAGGAAAAATACTGTCAAAGAACAGTTCTCCTTCATCTTGCCTCTTCCTGTTTGCATCACTGCCATTAGGGCAATCAGATGTGTTGATAAGACAAGAGAAACCGGTTCTGGTTTTCTCAAGGACTAGCTGATTGCCATCTTAGAAAGGAGGGAAGATAATTTTCCACAAGGCCGGATCAGCTGGCTACTTGCACGGCCAGGAGGAACTGAGAGCAGCTGTATTTGAATCCAGTCTTGGGATAAAAGTCTTCTAGCTTACAAGTCTTCGCTGTTAATGCTGGTGGTTTGAGCTGCAGCCTGTATAGTAGCTAGAAGGACTCCCTGCTCTATTGACCAGACATAAGTAAGAAGAGCACTGCTGGATCAGATCGAAGGCCCATCTAATCCACTATCCTGTTCTCACAGTGGCCAGCCAGATGCCTGTGGGAAGCTCGCAAGCAGAACCTGAGTGCAATAACGCTCTCCACCTTTCCCTGTAGTTTCCAGCAACTGGTATTCTGATGCATACTGCCTCTGACAGTGGAACTTGAACATAGCAATCATGGTTAGCAGCCACTGATAGCCATCTCCTCCATGAATTTGCCTAATCCTCTTTTAAAGCCATCCAAGCAGGACATGAGCGGGACGTGGGTGGCGCTGTGGGTTAAACCACAGAGCCTAGGACTTGCCGATCAGAAGGTCGGCGGTTCGAATCCCCGCGACAGGGTGAGCTCCCGTTGCTCGGTCCCTGCTCCTGCCAACCTAGCAGTTCGAAAGCACTTCCAAGTGCAAGTAGATAAATAGGTACCGCTGTGGTGGGAAGGTAAATGGTGTTTCCGTGCGCTGCTCTGGTTCGCCAGAAGCGGCTTAGTCATGCTGGCCACATGACCCGGAAGCTGGCTTCCTTGGCCAATAAAGCAAGATGAGTGCTGCAACCCCAGAGTCGGTCACGACTGGACCTGATGGTCAGGGGTCCCTTTACCTCTACTAAGCAGGGCATGAGGGTGACAGCCAAGGTCAGAAGGCCAGGCTCCTGGAATCTACCTGACCCAGCCAATCCAGAGTCTTTACCCTGCCTGCCGATTGGAAGGTGAGATGTTGTGCATTCCCATCTCCTTTCCATGCCTGAAGAGGGCTCTGAGGACTGAGCTCACATTGGCTCCATGAGACATTCAGTGCCTGCTGACAACAATGACTAAGTTCCCCTATTGGAGACAGTCTTCTGAATACCAGTTGCTGGAAACCACAGGAGGGAAGAGTTCTCTTGCACCCAGATCCCGCTTGTGGGCTTCCCATGGGCATCTCGTTGGCCACTGTGAGAACAGGATGTTGCCCTGGCCTGATCCAGCAAGGAACTTCTGATGCTGTTATGTTCTCATTAAGTTGTGTCTCTGATAGCTGGAGCCCATGATAGTTGCTTTGTGCAATTAGTGGCATGAGGGCAAGCTATCTGCACTATTTTTAAAGTCTAGCAGAATATACTCCATGATAGAACTTTCTATCATTCTCACAGTCTTCTGTCTCATAAGTCTACGATCCCCACTACCTTTCAGGTTCTGCAAATGCCACTTAAGGTTAAGTAAACCCGTGTGGGTCAGGCACTGGGCATTCCAAATTTCACACATGTCCTAGTTTGTTGAATGTACACTGGGCTTGAGCACAAAACGTAGAGCAGTAATAGCACCACTTTAATGAATAGTGGCATTATTCGCAGTGATCAGAAGGAAACAGCGCCCTACCACCCCAAGATGATAGAGGTGGGAAAGCATTAAGCAATTGAAGATGTATGTGGCGCGGTGAAAGTATTCTCCCCCTGTCACAAGGAACGGAAATAATAATAATATGCTGTTGTTTCCACAGCTGCTTGTGTCGTACGTGATGCTACAGGGAACGTCAATGATACAGTTGTATCCGGAATGAATTGCAATGGATCATCTGCTTGTGCCCTGGGCTATGATTTCTCCAGCTGTAAAACCCAGACATGTGATTATGGGCTGATGAATAATTTCCAGGTTCAAAAGAGCTCTAATTATGCAATTGGTATAATCATATGTGTGTTGTACAACCGAGAAAGCTGCATACTATATATGTAATAACACAAACGAACACAAGCGTAACCACACAGCAGAGTGCATTGTGTGGTTTTGCAATATCTCTGTTAACACCCCAGCTAAGATACATGACCTGAAATGAGAGCCAATCCATTCTGCTGTTGATGTGGCAATTAACATACTCGGACAGTGTTTTACATACCGCCTTACCTAAAAGGTCAGAAAGCAGAACTGTAGCATATGAGAGCCAGGGTGGCAGAAATCCCCTCTTAGCCGTGGAGCTCCCTGGGCGACCTTGGGCCAGTCATTATCTCTTAGCATAACCTACCTCGCAGGGTTGTTGGGAAAGTAAAATGGAGAGAGGACAGAACCATGCGTGCCACCTTGACCTCCTTGGAGCAAAGGTGGGATAGAAATGTACAGCTAGTAGTGGTATAAAATCATGAAGGTAAAGGTAAAGGGACCCCTGACCATTAGGTCCAGTTGTGACCGACTCTGGGGTTGCGGCGCTCATCTCACTTTATTGGCCGAGGGAGCCGGCATACAGCTTCCGGGTCATGTGGCCAGCATGACTAAGCCTCTTCTGGCAAACCAGAGCAGCGCACGGAAACACCGTTTACCTTCCCACCAGAGTGGTACCTATTTATCTACTTGCACTTTGACGTGCTTTCGAACTGCTAGGTTGGCAGGAGCAGGGACCGAGTAACGGGAGCTCACCCCGTCGTGGGAATTCAAACCCCGACCTTCTGATTGTCAAGTCCTAGGCTCTATGGTTTAACCCACAGTGCCACCCACATCAGAATCATATAATTGCAGAGTTGATGATAACAGCAGAATAGATAATAAAAGCCTAGATTGACAGATAGTCTGACTTGGCCTAAGACAGCTGCCTAGATTCCTTAGCAACATTCAATATTGGATGGTTTGTAAAGGCTCTAATGATCATGGCCCAGGATGTTTCTAACTAGAACCAGAAAGGCTCACCCTCTCTGAGGCCTGGACTATGCATGAACAAGCAGAATGTAGTGCAAAACCCAGACATGTGATTATGGGCTGGTGAATAATTTCAAAGTTCAAAAGAGTTCCAATTAGGCACCACCTAGAAAGAGCTTCACAACACAGTATCATGCATCTTCACTAAGAAGTAAACCTCACTTTTTCCAAATGGGAATCAGTTGCTTATAAGTGCGTTCAGGATTGCAGGCTTACTGCATGGCTTCAGAAGGTTGTTGTAACTATCAGGAGGAGATGGCAGGGTGGGGCGAAGGCACATACCTGACTTCCCGGCAGGGGAGATACTATTCCTTGCTGGGGAGGGTTGGGAAGGGGAGGGCATTGTGGTGCAAATGCACAAGCAGAAGCACCAGATTGGCACTATTGGTGAGTTTGCACCACATCGTCCTCCTCGCTGCCTTGCCCCTCCAGGTAAGCAGCAGCAGCAAATCAGATGAGCACCTTTGTCCCACCACAGATTGTAGATATGCACCCAAAGGTGTTCCAATTTGTACACAGAATCTCATGCTTCCCACAGCTTCTCAACTCACTGCAATGGGGGGGGGGTAATTGTATTGTGCAAAAGGATGCCTGGGCTGCCATACTTCAAAAAGTAACAGGACACCCCAAATGTTGTTGACCTTTTTTTAGGAAGACCCCAAAATAGTTGCCTTTTTTTTTTTTTAATGTCATAAAAACGCAATTTTTCAATTGACTTTCCTAAGACCTGCCACCTCATCTGAATTGAATGGGAAAAGGCAAGGCTCCTCACAAGTTTAGATTCCGAATAGAAACAAAGCAGAGCAATGGACCTACTTGTGTAAATTACATTCTAAATGATGCAGAACACAAAGACAAGCCACTCCATGAACAATTGTGTGAGCCTGGAAGCTCATTCTTTTAAACAATTTAAAATATATGTATTAGAAACACACGCTTAGTAATTCTTTACACCGCCATCAAATATTGGTCTAACCAAAGTTAAATTATCTATCTGCCATTTTGGTTCTCCAGTTAGTAGCGTGGCAAAGACAACCTGACGAGCTCTGCACCTTAAACAGGTACAGAACTGCTTCTGAAAAGTTGCTGATAGAAACTGTCCATTAATCTATTGGCACATGCCATCTTTCAATATCTGAAGAATAAAGTTTGGGTTTGATATTATTACATGAAGGCTTCTATCTAGAGGACAC